AGTTTAGAACAGCTGATTATAGTCGCATGACCAACAACTTCTCGAAAAACCCACCGCTTTTTCGTGACTTCCAATGAGGAAGTTTAGAACAGCTGATTATAGTCGCATGTGGTTAATGACTGCACCATCCCACATCAGAAATTGATGCGAACATACGGGTCAGGTCGCATATGACCTCTGCGCATTCCTCCCTGCCCTTCATTGTAGATTTTTTTGGCATTTATCCAAAAAGCCTCAAAAATTTTTTGCGCTGGTGTTTTAGACTCCTGTGCAAGGATATTGACTTTTACTTCAAAATCGTCTCCGCTATACTTTTGTATCCTATGCGTGCCTAGTGGGCTACTTTGTCTTAGTTTTCGTTTGCCATCTAGGTGTTCTTTTATACGGATACACAAAGGTCTGCCTGTTTCGCCAATATATTCATCTCCGCAATTATTACAAGAGATCAGGTATATCGTACCTGAACTCATGCAATCACCGTCCCTGCCGTAAGGGCAAATTACGCAATTTGTTGTTTCACATAGACGGTCATACAGGCGGTTACGGACTAATTGACGACGTAGGGTAACCGGTGGTATTTCAACTATCGCTACCGATTCCTCAAGACCTCCTCTTCCTAAGCATCTTTAATAGCTACGCTTACTTCATCGCTAATAAAAGGCAACATAAGCGAGACTCTCTTTCGGCCAAGTGTTTCGCGTGGGCGCGTCGCTCTCCTTCTAAACTTATCTCGTGGGTTACTATTTCGTAGCCATTGGAGATGGCTATTTGCCGAGCCAAGTCGAGCGATTCTTCCTTTAGTTCCGGGCACACGGACGTGGCTGTTCGAAACATGTTTCTCACAATCGTCCTCTTTGTGTGTGAGGGGTGGGAAGAAAGGTAATGAACGAGGATGTTCTTGTTACTTGGCTTTCGGTACCACTTTGTCAAGTAACTGCTACTTGATAGGTTTATTTGAACGTTGAAAAACGGAGGCCAGTTTTTTCCCCCTTACTGTTACTTTGCTTTGTGGGAAAGGTTTCTCCTTGGAAGGTTAAAATAGCTATGCCGTTCATTACTGCTAGCAGTCGACGACTTTTGAGAACTAAAGAGACGTTTGTCGTCTAGCAACTAGCTTTCATCAGACCGTAATAGCATTCGTTTATTCTCATCTGGGCTTTCAGAGATAAGCGTTCGGTTCCTAGTGGTCTTATACCGGCCAGCTGGAGCATGAAGAACTCTTAATGCGCATCCTAGGAACGCTTTAATACATAAGAACAGAAAAAGAAAAGGAATTCAAAAACATACAGAAGTGACTGTGGAACTTTTTGGCATAGGTCGCGTGCTTAAAGTTTGGTTCATCCTCTTTAATAACTGAATACTTGAAGGAGGTTTCTAACCCTCAGGTTTTGGCAGTGTGTCGATAATTTGTAATCGAAGACTGACAACTGATTTACACCGTCTGTTTGATACAACAAATTATTTGAATCCTTCAGTTGATATCATAGCACCAAAGATTCCTAAACAGCAGAAATATGCCTCAGACACAATGGTATTGAAGAGTTTAAAAGACTACAATGGAAGATTGTTCGGATGGACTCACCGTATTTATAGATTCGTCATATTTCCTTCTGGTGAAAAAACTCACCAAAAAAATCGATAATAGAATTGAATATGGTAGTTTATGACTTTATGATGATTGGATAGCATGTCGTTTAACTGAACTCAAGGTATTGGCGTATAAGATGAGAACTCATAAGTGCAAGGCGATTGGAATTAACGACATCGTCCTCTAAGCGATTAGCACCGGCTTCTTTAACAACTGGCAGTTAGAAAATAATCGAAGAATTTTCTTATTTTTAGTCGTTCCTACTTCTTTTCCGCCAACTAATTTCCTTTCAAGGAAATCCGATGCTAAAAGAATGGCTTATGGAATATAATGGGCCATACACATTCTAATAACGGGCTACTGAGAACCTCACCCGGTCCGCTTTGAAAACATTTAGTCATTTCAGCCACAAGTTTTATCGTTAAAAATTCATTAGCAACAAATGGATGCAATGTCACAACCGACTTTTTGAATTTGAATGAATAAAAATGAAGAAATAAGTAGGTGGAGAAAAGAATCAGTGAATGAAAAAGTTATAATGATAATTCCGACGATACTGATTCATGACGTCACTTTTATGACGCATTTGAAGTTTGCCATCGCTGATCCTTAGGAGAGTATATGAATTTAGAACCAAGTGATTAGTTATTGGGATGCTTATGTGGATTGGTAGAGATTGGAAGCTTTTCAGGCCTTCATTTTAGCGATAATTCGATTAGTTAAGCAGACTGACTCGAGCGTCATTTTATTATAATGATGATGAGTGGTTATTTCAATCGTTATCTAGTGCCTGAGAAATTATTAATAGCTAATAAGCCATACGAATTAGGTTAGAAGACGCTACGAAGTTGCTAATGACAATGGCAAACATACATACAGCGAGGGTTGGGGTGCTGGTGGTGGTGGTAATGAGACGACGAAGACAAAGTACTGACGTTGGCCTAACGTGTGAATGAGAAAGAATTCAAATATGCGCAAGGATGGGTGAAGTCGAAAGAAAACCATCCAGGATATGCTAACGGGGTGGACTAAAACGCTAAAAGTGTTCGGCACTGACCAATCCTTTAGCTACGCGCCATGCATCCGATTCCACTCCTCGCATCATAGAATTCGTTGAATGCTTACCTGGTCTATACAATGGCGCATGCAATACAGTGATATGTGGTGACCTACTGATGAATCATTTAGGTGTTCTTATCCTTCCAAAGGAGTCTGGTACTTTTGTCTACGCCAGAGAAAAGGAGAGCTTGGTGAGCCCAGGACTCAAACCTTGGCTCACCTCGCCATAATCAAACCATTATGAGCGATCATATGTGTATTGATGTGCACCTACAACCACTGCGCTAAATACACCCACCCCTATAAAGTGGATTGTGATTACAAAAAAAGACAAAGTCAGTGAACATGGTACCAGCCATCAAAGTGAGTTTTAAACGATTAACTCCAAAACATATTACTTGCTAGCGCTGTATTTCATTAAAGTTTCACATTTTAAGAACACTTTAACGTGGGATATTTCAAAATATAAACTTGCTAACGATGACGATCAACGATATTACTGTTCTTTTGCAAAAAGATTGGGGTAATACCAGCAATTTTGCTATGATTATTGAAAAAGTAGCACTACCGTAGAATCATAGAGCTTTTAAAGTCAAAATAAACCCATATATGGCAATTCAACCAGCAGAGTTCAACCATTAGGTGACAAGTTTTTTTTTTTCTTAAAAAAAGTACCACTAGAAAATCCAGTAGTCAAGATTTCGTGGTAGGGCCCGGCTACCTACGATGACTGCAGGTTAGTGTAAACGCTATGCGCTTTTTACTAAACACCAATACAGCTAAATGCTCACCGTGCTTTCATACACGTAATTCCTTTTTCTTCGAGAAAAAGCACTATTGACAATCATTTTTGATTATTGCTAGTAGACGTTTGGTGCTGTGCCAGCTTTAGTTAAAAGAAACTACATAAATAAGTCGAAAGACCGACTTTCTATGAACCTCGGCATAAATAGTTGATATATTTATTTATGAGATCTTATAAACTGATCTTCTTAAGCTGACGCGAGGTTGGTACAGATCTTCGTTGTCGTTGTCGTTGTCGTTGTTTTTGATGTTATTGATCGATGGCTGACGTTTCGGCGACTTCGCCTTCCTCAGAGCCGTGATGTTACGT